AAAGCCCTTGAAATTCGACAACAATCACTTCCTTCCAATCATCCTGATTTGGCTTCTTCCTACTACAACATCGGTAATGTGCATGGCAACATGGGTAACTATCCAAAAGCACTTTCATCTCATGAAAAAGCCCTTGAAATTCGACAACAATCACTTCCTCCCAATCATCCTAATTTGGCTATGTCCTACAACAACATTGGTTTGGTATATGAAAACATGGGTAATTACTCAAAAGCTCGTACATTTTATGAATATGCTATACAAATTGGAGAACAATCATTAGCTTCAAATCATCCTAATCTTCAAAATTATAGAAATAACCTTGAAGATGTAAAAAACAAATAATAAATTGTATTGCTATAAATTTTAGTTTTTGAAAGAGAAAATAAACTTTTTAAATAAAAAAAGAATTGTTTTAAATGCACGTACGTACAGATAAACTCTGGTCTTGTTGAGTCATAAATGAGTGGTAACACTCAACAGTAAGCTAAACAATACATATCAATAGACATATATTGTAGAAAAAGACCTTTACGATATATAATTATTGTGTCTGAACAAGGTAGAGTGTTTCTGTGTTGGGTAAGAAAAAGAACCATCACCCAACAAGCTGTTTAACTCTTTCGTTACGATAGTATAAAAAAGCTACACCTATTTTTAATTATTTTTTTTATAGTAATATTCACAAAAATAGGTGTGCGATCTCTTCAAAGCAGTTTAAACAGGATATTTTAGGAAAATTCTGTGGTATTTACCTTCCATTCTCTTCTTCTTCGGTCCTCACGCTCACACTCTCAAAGTTGTTTTTTGTTATTTCATGAAAACATTCGATAAGCTTTACAACTAATAAACGTCAGTAGTTAAAATTTCTGTTCAAGTATAACAAAGTCTAGTATTACTTATATTTCATATATCACATCCGAAAATAGATGAATTACTTTTACATAGGTCCTTATCGATCACTTCCACTGAATCCGTCACCGGTCGCTATCTCTAAAAACAGTTAGTTTAAGATTTTACTGATTTTCAGTTTAGAAAAAATAATTCTGTAACGAAAGGGTTAAGACAGTTGAAAGATATTTCAGTTGATAGAAAGAACTCTGCTACAAGTAGATAGATGAGGTAAACTGAAACGTACGGCTTTCACACTAGATTTTCTATCCAAGATTTTTTTATATGTCAGTGTTTTGACAACAGAATATTAGCTTTTCAGATATTTTGTTATGAAAGCATAATCCTATGAGAGATATAATTTTTTCTAGGACGAAAGAGTGTTGGTGTCTCTACCTTGAATAAAGCAGTCAATCCTCACCAACACCCACACCTTCAATAAATGACGATATATACATACTCAGGTGTATCATTGTAACGATCACAAGCGACATATTTGTGAGTGTAAACGAACCGTGAATGACTTGTCTGACTAAAACATGACTACGAAGGTGTGTGTAGGTGAGACTAACAAAAATACCCATACCCACTCTTAAGTTTTCTACGTGCTAGAATATAGTCATTACTGTTCAATCATATGATGAAATTTAAGTGTAAAAACAATTTCAAAAATATTTTTCGAGATCACAAATAGATGCGAATACTAAGCTCTTAAAAACAATCGAGAGCCTTGACTATCATCAGAAAATAACATATCTGTATGTTTATAAGATTTTTCATAATAATCACTTTATAGTAAATATGATGCGTATAAATGATCTTTGATATGTACATGATGATTTCTAAAGGAGCATTTGATATTCTTGAATATATACTTAGTAAAATTTATCAATCAATAACTTCGAGGAAATTAATTAAATATTTCC